GATAGGGACAAATAATGCGCTAAATATCGTTATGCTGACGATCGTCAGCGCATCAGTAACATAGCTGACGATGGCCGTATCGTCACTTTTACTGACGTTGACGATNTCATCGAGGTCCTCAAAAAACGAATGCCCATCTGAAAGAGCATCAAATTCTGTGTAAGAAAAACCACTGCTGCATTTTCCAAATAGTGGTGGACATGGCTGCTGCAGCGTTTGAAAGTCGCCCTCCTTGACCAGTCATTATACACTTTTGACCTCGCAAAAATCATTCTCGAATTTTTTCTAGATCTTATCCCGCGGGGGATCAGTCTCCGTGTAAATGGCAAGTGGAGACTATAATNGAAAGAGCATCAAATTCTGTGTAAGAAAAACCACTGCTGCATTTTCCAAATAGTGGTGGACATGGCTGCTGCAGCGTTTGAAAGTCGCCCTCCTTGACCAGTCATTATACACTTTTGACCTCGCAAAAATCATTCTCGAATTTTTTCTAGATCTTATCCCGCGGGGGATCAGTCTCCGTGTAAATGGCAAGTGGAGACTAAATCCAGCGATTGCGCACGTCCGATTTTTTTCGAAAAAATGGTTTTTTTTGAATAACTTGCCCATTTTTAATTTTTAAGAAAAATCAGAAGAACAAGTTGTAGGAAATTCAATTCTATACAAGTTTGGTCCTTATAATTTTTCCTCTAGGATTGATAGTTTTCGAAATAAACTTGAAACAAGCGGTAATCTCAAAATATTGCATTATATCTCGTTCATCTTCAAATCTACTGCATAAATAAGTAAGGTCAGTCTTGAAGAAAATCAAATTTCCTACAACTCTGGTTCCACAACTTTTTTCTCAGACCGATATTTTTTGATAGGGACAAATAATGCGCTAAATATCGTTATGCTGACGATCGTCAGCGCATCAGTAACATAGCTGACGATGGCCGTATCGTCACTTTTACTGACGTTGACGATATTCAACATAGGACGGAATATTCATCAATTAAACAGAAAAAATTTAAAAGGTGATAATAACCTAACCAAAGGCTTGTGAAATGGACCATTTTAAAAAGAATTGGACCAATGGAGCAAACGAAAAGAAATGGACCAGATTTGGTCCATTTGGACCAAAACGGCAACCGTGCTTCCCAACAATCGAAGTCTACCAATATATTGTTATAATTTTAAAGCCCTATCTATAAAAGCCTTCTTATGTTTGTTTTTAAAATCGGGTGAAAAATAGTCAAGCTGTTAATAGATAAGTCCCAAGTATGAAAACAACGCATTTTTTAATAAAAAAAATTTAAGGTTCAAGAACTATAAGAAACCTATGAGATATTTGTAAAAAAGAAACATTTTTACAATATGAAAAAGACACTCCGAAAATCCGTACATGTTGACGAAAAGCTAAAAATCCGAACGTTGAATCCGTACAACCATTTTCACCCCTGCAAGTCCGTACCGTACGGAAAAATCCGTACATCTGGCAGGGCTGAATATGGCTTGACTTTAATTTTGCTATATAAGTTTTTATTAAATTCACCTCTGTTATTATTATATCATTGGGTTCCTTTTTAAAGCAGAATTTGATCATCCAACAAAATCGTGGAGAGCTAGGTCGTGGATTTTGCCATACAATATCATTTGTCTGGTCATTAATTAAACGCAAGGGCACAAACGATATGGAAAAAAGGTTTTCGTCTCAGCCCTCTTCTGAGCATTCAGTTGATATCCTTTGCTTATATTGTCTTTGTGCTGAACTACCGCATTTTGACAGAAGTCGGAACTGTAATACAGATGAAGAAGAATCCATTTCCTCAATAACGCTTTTTGTTACTTCACAAATTTTTTTCGCCGTTAGATCGAGGAGCTCTTGTAACTTTTCTTCTGCGGAGGTATCAGTAATAATAATACTTTCTTCTGGAGGGTAGCACTTCTTTTTTCTTCTTGCTGTCGAATAATGTTGTACTCTTTTACACTTAGCTTAGCATCAACCAGTAGACCAAGGGCAGCTTCTGGAGAAAGCTGTGGATCTGGTCTATTAAAAAATTCTCGAGCCTTCTTTATTTGTGTAGCGTGCGAAGGTGATGAAAATTGAAACTTCTTCTAAAAGTTTAGCAGCATCCCTCCTTCCAGAAGACATCAATTTCATCCGTGCCGCAAGAGTTAGTTTCTCTTGTGATGATGAGCAGAGCACTTCCTTCGATTTCCTTTTTTTCACTTTTAAGTGACAGTCTTCAAAATGTTTTTCGGGTCGACCAACTCGAGAAGTTTTACTACAAGACGGCAGATTATCGAGAAATTCAGATGGAAACGAGATTTCTCCTTCTAACCAGTCTTGGTTTTCTAGTTGGAATCTTGCTTTCATCCGCTTACATTTCTCCCACTTTTCCATAAGTTTGCTACTAAGACGGCTAACACAAATTTCCAGAGCCCTTCTACAAGTTTCAGAAACTTCTAAGTTGTGTGCTTCCAGTATTTTCTGAATAATACATTTGTTCTTCTCTGTTTTTTTTTGCTTGCAACCAAATTTCAAATATATCTTTCCGCCTCTTTTTATGCTAGTAGTCTGTCGAAAATTGAAATTAATTAAAGATGGGCCAATCTGGGCAAACGATTTTAGTTTTCCTAAAATGTCTATGAATTACAGGAGAAGTTAAGAGTACATTAAAAAAGGGGACCTACGGGGAATTTTTTAAAACTAAATGCAAAATGGAGAATTGTTATTCAAATAAATTGATCTAAAGAGTTGTAAACATTGAAAATTTTCGATATGATAAGTAGTAATAAAATAATAAAACTTATTCTCATTTTCGTTGTTGGTGTTTCCGACAGGGTAGGAGTGTGATGTAATGTGGAACAATTTTCCGTCATCCCTTGTCAAATTTGGTTTGGAGACAAATAAATAATAAAACTTACTGAAAGATTCAGGGAAACGATATCTAATAAAATTTTATGTAATTATTTATTAAAAATTACACAATGCACCTTTTCTTAATTGTTGCAATATTGCTACTTAAGCAAGTGTTTTTTCAAAGTGAAAAAGTTCTATACTTCGGGACTCCTACAAAAATCTAAGCCGCTAAGGCTCGCGCGGAAACCTTATTGGTGCAACTTATAGTTCAACGTTCGCGTTCGACCTTTTGCTCCAAATGAATTGTCATAGTTAATGTCAGGACTCCTACGCACGTAGACAATTATCAAGGTTTTTGACAACTTAATACTTATTCTTTATTGTCATGACAGCATTGTCTAATATAAATGCGCCGTTCTTGTTAATTTTTTTGCATTTTTACGCTAATAATAAACGTCTCTGAATCATCTCGCGGTTTTCGGTAACGAGTTTTCTAAGGACGCTCATGAGTCATAATCCAGAAAGCCTTTCTTCTCCTGTTGTGTTTCTGAGCCAGGTTTTTACTCTACGAAGTGTACTAAACGATCGCTACATAGCCGCTATTGTGAATGAAAAAGTTCTCAAAATGGAAATACACCTATTTATCGCTTCAACATACTTCAAATCTTTTTCGAACAAGTTATTTTTCTGTTTCTTCCATAAATTGTACTAAAGAATGAGTTCAATGCCCATAACTAGATCATAAATCTGTTTAAAATGCTTCGCGTTTTTGTTTACCTTTTCACTGGAACATTTAAGTTCTATCCAGAATTACAGCGGACGAGGATAAAGCGATCGCCGGTAAAGGAACACCCTGTGGGGAAAATCTCTAGTTCTGAACTGGTGCGCTTCTAGTACATTTAGACCCAGTACTGGTTCGCGATAAATCTCTTTTGCATGCAAGCAACTGGCGAATTTAACATGGCGATGTCCTAGGAAGTGTCAATTACCCCCCGCTGCATCCCTTTTTCGATAGTTCCGAACTAGTCCTAAATTCTATAGTTTCGAACCAGTTCTAAAATCGACAGACGAAAGAAAAAAGTATCATGATTTTAAAAATCTTTTTGGTTCTTCCGTGTGTGCGATTTTAAGTTATTTTGGAAGAAATGTGTTTTCAATTTGAAATTAAATTTGTTTGAATGATTGTAAGAAATGTACGTTTAGATACCTTGAGCTGTAGCTGAGTTTGCAGAGGTGCTCGCTGTTATTTCTTAGATTCCAGACTGTCCCAAGATGTTGATATGTTAACACAAATTTTAGCTATGAAAAAGCATCTGCGAAGCACAGAATATCTATGTAAGTAAATGCATCCCTTTTTCGATAGTCCTGAACTGGTTCGTTCTGCATCCCTTTTTCTATAGTTCCGAACTATTTCTAAATTCGTTACTTTAGATATAGATTTCTAGTGAAAAAAACTGAAAAATATTAGTTGTTTAAAAGTACCACTTTTCGCCGATTTTGGATTGCTGGGGATCTAGTTCCTATCGGACTATTTCGTTTTTGGCGATAAAGACCTAGTACGGAACTAGAAAATTGATTCACTAGTCCGCGGTTTCCCTACAGGGCAGTTGCCGTAGTGAAATCCGTCAGAGTAAAAACAATTGCGGCGCACGACGGCTTCCGTCAGTTGTCATTTTGATTTGAAAATTTTCATTAAAATTAAAAATTTTTTCGTTTTTTTGTGACAATGATAAAAATTATTACAATCAACACTCAATCAACATGGTTCCGTCCCCGCTGGGCGGTAAAAATATAAATAAATTTAAATCAACCGAACAACGTCCGTGGTAAAAACGCTGCCGCCGCAATTATGGACCATTCCATATGCCTTTGTGAGTTTTAATTTTGACAGCGGTTAACCGTCGACCGCTTTACCGTGGTCCGCTGCAATTCTGGGTAGAGGTTTAATCGTGTAAAATGGGTGCAATTTAGATAGCGAAAAAGCTGAGTATTTTCATTGGAAAGGCGTAGCTGTAAGGATGCCGTTAGTGAATCTAGATACGGTTTTATTATATTATTATGTTCATCGACTACTAATACCACTTTGTGTTCTTTCTTTTGCGGAAAACAAACCGGCACAACTGGTTCCAATCGTTGTGGCGATTAACACTGGTCCTTCGTCGCCATCCAAGTAAAAACTTATTCTTCACCAGCACCAAATTGATCGCCAACCACTGAGCTCTTAAGAACAAAGAAGCATTGAATTTGTTACGGAAGACGTATCTTTGAGGAGAAAAAGTGACCACAAACCTCTGGATAACTTGTGCGCACATCCATACACATACGAGCCATCTGTACACACAAAAGAAAACTTCTTCTATTAAGATTTTAAAGGTACGTGGTTTAAAATTTAACTGCACTTTATTCATATTGTGAAACTTGATGCCAAAATAAGTGATTGTGAGAAAAGAAAAAAAAAAATTAGTAGATTTAATTAAACAAAATACATCGAAACGCGAGTGATTTGTAAAAAACGTTGAAGTTTAAGGGCAACAGAAGTCCTTCGAGTGACACTCACACGCACATACATAAGTGGCCTCCACAGGCATTTCAATAAAGAACTTCAGTGATTGTTGTTGGTTATTTTATTTCTTCTGAATTTGCGTGATTTTAATTTGCAAGACGTTTGCTTTTCGGTGATTAGTTTAATCATTTTAATTTATTAATCACATTTTCTGTGTGACTTGCACCTTTCCCGCCGAAGTTTGCCAACAACAACACTGCACGGTTTTCGGTTTTCATAACCAAACTTTTCACTGCACTCAACCTTGTGAACTTACAATATTTCACCCTTTTGTACGAACGAATTCCACAAAATCACTTTCGCGTTTGCGTTAAATACAAAAATTATATTTTGGCACCATTTCGAAAAATAATTGCTGTGTACGGTTTTATATATTAGCTATTCGTTTTACATATGTACATACACATATATGCACATTAAGCGGATACATACATTTATACATATAAAGATTTTTTTACCATTTGGTTGGCGAGCAATATCTTATATCAGTTTATACCTTTGAATCGTTTGAATAAACATATAAATATCACTTATTTATACATTTTTGAGAAAAATTAAACACGTTCGTTTATTAATTCCTGGCTAAATTGCTGGTTACCTTGGTGGGCAGTTCTGCTTTATCATAGCACTGATAAATTGGGTCAGATTAACAGAGGTTTTTGCGTTGTGTTATACATACATATATTAATATTTCAAGTTCGGCATACGTTGAGCTGTTTACCGGTGATATACTTCTGAAAGTTTTGTGAGGTGGTAATTACGCAGATAAAATAAAATCAAAATGGAGACATACATCCGCTTAGCCGATTCGGTCATTGAATTTGAAACAGATTTTCTAAGCACTCCCACAAGCGAGCATACCAAACATTCGCTGAGAATCCAGCAAAGCGAGCTTAGCGTCATGTGGGAGAAAGCCAAAGTTTTATTTGACGAACTCCTGGCAGCAGAAACGACTACTGCCAAGGATCTTAGTACGATACGAAAGAAAAATAAAACTTGCTACGCGGCTTTTGTGCGGTGTATGACGAAAATTAATGAATATTCGGAAAAGCTGGAAAAGTCAGAAAAGGAAAGTGAAGATATGTCACCAGCGTCGCATAGTTTACATCTTCCACCGTGCGATATTGACGTTTTTAAAGGTGACTATCTGTCATGGCCAACTTTTCGTGATATGTTCACGGCCATTTATATTCTGAATAAGCGAATTACACCCATACAAAAACTTTATTACCTCAATCAGAAAACGCAGGGTGAAGCCAGGGAAATCGTAAAGAAGTGTGACTTAACAAATGAAGGCTTTGACATAGCCTGGAAAAATCTTTGCGATAGATACGAGAATAAAAGGATCCTCGTGAATACTCAGTTGAAGATTCTTTTCAACTTGAGTACGGTCGAAATCGAATGCGGGAGTTCAATCAAAAGGTTGCAAAGGGATATCAATAATTGTATATCCTCCCTAGAAAGTCACAAAATTGACATTTCCAACTGGGATCCTATTATTACGTACCTGTGCTCCACTAAATTACCTGAAGAAACCCTTTCTCTGTGGGAACAATCGGTTGAAAATAAAACAGAGATTTCGAAGTGGATAGATATGGACCGATTCCTTTCAAGTAGGTTCCAAACATTAGAATCGGTATCAGGTTTAAGAGGAATCAAGACTTCAAAGACACCGAAAGTGCCAAGTCACAAGCATTCCTCTGAATCTTCTCATAAGAAACTTGGCGTTTTTCAAACTAGTGTCGCCAAACACAAGTGCAAAATGTGCCAAAGCAACGAGCATAGAATACATATGTGCCCCAAATTTCTAAAGATGTCTGTAGCTGATAGAATATCTTTTGTAAAAACAAACAATAGCTGTTTTAACTGTCTGTCTTTCGGACATTCGGTGTCGAAATGCACGAGTTCTTACAATTGCGCCAATTGCCATTCTCGACACCATACGCTCCTACACAATCAGACAGCACCGCCTAAAACAGCTATCAGGGAAAATACTTCAAATCCTGCAGACAACTTGCCATCGACATCCAGGCAAGCACAACAACGTAACCAAGCCTCAAAAGGTAAAGCTAAGCCTGTAAAAAACGTGCAATCACATCACGCGAATACATGCAAAGGTGTTTTACTCGGCACAGCGCGAGTAAATATTCATTTTAATGGCACAGACTTCGCTGCCAGAGCATTAATTGATTCTGGCTCTGAGTGTTCCTTCATAACGGAGAGGCTCAGACGCAGAATCAATTTGCCAACTAAGAAGATGTTGGCACAAGTTTCGGGTATCAACAAGACGGTTTCAGCTCAAGTGAAAGAAGCGTGTTCAATCCAACTGCGGTCACCCGTTGACCCACTTATCTCGATTGATGCCCTAGTCCTTGTTCTTCCAAATCTTACAGGAAATCTGCCGACGTGTGATGTCAGCGCACTCACACAACAAGCGTTTCCTGATCTGATCTTGGCAGACAAAAGATTTTTTGTGAATGAACAAGTCGATCTTGTTCTTGGAGGAGACATATATCCCCAAATCATTCTAGGTGGAATAAAAAAGAATATTTTGAATACTCTTTTAGCACAAGAAACAGTTTTCGGTTGGATACTGACTGGTCGTGCTGATGCAGCCAGCCCAACCAACACCAATCGTGTTTCTTTTTATAACGAGGTTGCCCTTGATAAGCAGCTAAGCGCCTTCTGGGAGATAGAAGATTTTCCAAAAAACAAGACACTAACTTTAGAGGACACACAATGCGAGGAGCTGTACAAGCGGACAACAAACCGGAGCCAAGATGGAAGGTACATTGTTTCACTCCCTTTCAAAGCTGAGTACCCAGCTGAAATTCAACTGGGCCCTTCACTGAAACGAGCATGCTCTCAATTTTACAAAAATGAGACAAGACTTACGAAAAACCCAAATCTACAAAAGGAATATAACCGAGTTTTAGTGGAGTACGAAACCATGGGACACATGTGTAAAGTCAACGCTCCTCAGTCGGCGGATGCGGTGGATAACTATTATTTACCGCACCATGCGGTGGTGAAAGAAGAGAGCACATCAACAAAAGTTAGAGTAGTTTTTAATGCGTCGTCTTGTTCGGCTAATGGAGTTAGTTTGAACGATGTACTTCTCCCTGGGCCAGTGCTTCAATCTGATCTACCGATTTTGATTCTCCGCTGGAGACTTTTCAAGTACGTCTTCAATAGCGATATTGAGAAGATGTACAGGCAAATCCTTGTAGATGAAACCCAAACAAAGTATCAGAGAATAGTTTTTCGCAAAAGTTCAAATGATGCAATAGGTCTTTATGAATTAAGGACGGTTACTTTCGGTATAAACTGTGCTCCTTATCTTGCGATAAGGACATTGCTTCAACTCGCGGAAGACTCTGAAAATCTCTACCCTACAGCCTCAAATATTTTACGTAAAAATATGTATGTCGACGACGTTCTAGCTGGAGGACATACCTTAGACTCTGCGATCAAAGCTAGGGATGAGATTTCAGCAGTCCTTAAGTCAGCCGGTTTTCCTCTGAGAAAATGGACTTCAAATAGTAACAAAATCTTGCAAGGTATACCAAAACAAGATCTACTGAATGAGGATTTCCTAGAGTTTGAAGATACTAGTAGCGTCAAAGCACTGGGCATAAGGTGGAATGCTCATTCCGACCAATTCTACTTTATAGCAAAATCGATAGAAGATAACGTGAACCCAACAAAGAGAGCAATCTTGTCAGCTATTGCTAAACTCTTCGACCCATTAGGTTGGTTAGCCCCCATAATAATTGTAGCGAAAATCTTAATGCAAAATATATGGTTAGAGGGTACCGACTGGGACGAGGAAGTTTCTTCTATAACTTTGGAAAGCTGGCGAAATTTTACAAAAAATTACGGCGAAATCGATAACATAAGGATACCTCGTTGGGTATCTTTCTCGCCAAAGAGAAAGGTGGAAATTCATGGATTCTGCGATGCGTCCGAGAAAGCATACGCTGCCGCGGTTTATCTACGTGTGGAGACAGAAGAGAAAGTACTTGTTAATCTGCTATTAGCGAAAACCAAAGTAGCTCCAGTCAAAACCATTTCACTACCTAGATTGGAACTTTGCGGGGCAGTTTTACTAGCAGAAATAGTCGAATCGGTGACCAAGAATCTAGAACTAGGCCACCTTAAGATAAACCTTTGGACTGATTCGACAATTGTGCTAGCATGGATTCGAAAGCCCCCTTGTTCGTGGGCAACTTTTGTTGCCCATCGAATTACAAAAATATTAGATAAGGTAGGAAACTCCAACTGGTGGCACGTCGACTCAGCTACAAATCCAGCAGACTTGGCAAGTAGAGGTGTAATAGCGCAAGACTTGGTCAAAAATTCGTTGTGGTGGAAGGGACCTTCTTGGCTTCAAGAAAATAGAGAAAATTGGCCAAGGCAAGAAACAGACTTCACTACCGATATTGAGGGAAAACGGGTGCACGCTCTTACAACAACAACGACCAATAGTACCAGTGATATTCTCGAACGTTTTTCAAGTTTGTCAAAAGCTGTGAGGGTGATATCTTATATAATAAGATTCTTTCAAAGAACCCATCCTAATACAAAAACTTCTTTTCAGGCGAATTCTTCTTTAATTTCGTCCGACGAAATTAAAATAACGACTACACGTCTGATAAAACTCGCTCAGAAGCAATATTATGGATGTGAAATCGCCAAACTAAAAGCTAGAGAATCCATCGAACCCAAAAGTGAAATACTTCCTCTGAATCCGCTGCTGGACAAGGATGATGTGCTGAGAACGGGTGGTCGTCTTGGTGCATCTCTTGATCTGGCATATAATGAGCGTCACCCCGTAATACTTCCATATAATTGCAGATTATCACGTCTTATTGTACAATTCATCCACGAAGTCTCTTTACACGGTGAAAACCAGTTAATGTTGCGCCTTGTACGAACGCAATACTGGATTCCACGAATAAAAACAATGATCCGGTCCACAATCCATAACTGCAAGATCTGTACTATCCATAAAAAGCGCTCGCAAAGCCAACTTATGGGGATTCTTCCCCAAGAACGAACAACATTCTCGCGAGCATTTACCAATACTGGAGTGGATTTTGCTGGACCCTTTGACATAAAGAGTTATCGTGGGCGAGGCTGCCGAATTTCAAAGGGTTATGTATGTCTTTTTGTCTGTTTCTCTACCAAGGCTATTCACTTAGAGGCCACAAGTGACTTGAGTACTCAATCTTTTCTAGGAGCGTTTTCTAGGTTCATAGCCAGACGAGGGTGCCCAAAAAATATCTATTCTGACAACGGGACAAACTTCGTCGGAGCATCACGGGCGCTACAAGTGGAACTTAAGGCTTTTCTATCCGACGCGCGGACACAGACGTTATCAAAATATGCCCATCAGGCATTAACTTGGCATTTCATACCTGCAGCAGCTCCGCACATGGGTGGTCTGTGGGAGGCAGGTGTAAAAAGTTTTAAAAGCCACTTTAAGAAGATAGCGTCAAATATGAAGTACACTTTCGAGGAGTTCAGCACACTTCTCTGTCGAATTGAGTCGTGCCTCAACTCTCGACCTCTAAGTCCAGCTTCAAATGAGCCATCTGACCTTGAGCCTTTAACTTCAGGTCATTTTCTGGTAGGCGGACATCTGTTAGCCCCACCAGAAATAGACGTGAACGAAAACGCTGCCTCAATTGTCAATCGGTGGCAGAAACTCAAGGCCTTGCATCAAAACTTCTGCAGGAGGTGGAAAACGGAGTATCTTTCTGAACTAAAAAGCGGATTAAGTGGAAGCATCCGAAATCAAACATGAAAGTGGGATATCTAGTAGTCATACGGGAAGATAATCTACCACCCAATGAATGGAGATTAGGTAGGGTGGTCAATTTGCGCCCAGGTTCTGACAACAGGGTTCGCGTAGTTGATATTATGACAGAAAAGGGCCAAGTGACAAGACCGCTTGTCGAGCTGGTATTACTACCACCCAACGAGGCTGATCAAACGGCATCCTCTACCTAAGCTACAAGCCAATATTAATACGAAGCCTGAACGATTTTCCCATGGATTCTCGAAGATTTATTAATTCCACTTCCATTAATTTCTAAGAATTCCACCTCTCAACCAAAAGCATCAACAGGGATTGGAATAAAAATTCCAACACACACACACACATATTCACATACATACAAGCTTGCTTCCCTTCCAGAAATTGTAGAAAAATTTGATCGCCTACAAACCAAAAACCATTTCTATCACCCTTTTCTTTTATTTTCTTAACAGATTAACGCGCAAGTTATCATTCCTTTCAAAATAAGTCTGTTGTTCCTAATGGCTGTATCGCTTTCGTATCATTCTTCACAGATATGTCGCACCGAATTAGTCACTTCCAACAGAAATACTACCAGGGTTAATCAATATATATAATTTACAACAACACGACGGCAAACTTACCAGTTCCAGCAAAGTTCAGTCAACTGCATAAGTGCAGCTCTGATGAAAAGTCTGTGTAACTTCCCAATCGTTAAAACGTTGCTAGAAATTCACACCGAACATGATACCTCATTTTTTAGATGAATGCAGCAGTTGCAAACGGCTCTTTAAATGAAATTGGTTAGCTGCCAACTTTTCGTTCAACTTTCGACTTAACTAAATAATCGCTTTTAAAGTTGAATCATGTAAATCCCAAACTTTGCCACTTCACTACGGCGTTGATTACGCCCCTTAAACACCCCGCACGATATATGCTAGTAGAGATCCCATTAAAATATAACTTTAGCTTCATTTTAACATTTTTATTGAATTTCACACTATTTTTTCCACACATTTGATATTTCACTAGCTTCAAGTACTCGAAGGCGAATTTTTTTGTGCTCATAAATACATATTCGTAAACTTTATTCTAAATGATAAGCTTTTCTTTAATATCATGAAATAACTACTTTATTTGTACACATCGGTATAAGAACGCGATGCGGTAGCGGCGTTGCAACGACATCACAATGCCCGTCACCCGGTCTACACATCGGTATTGTAATTCGCAGAAATCGACGATATGTATACTGGACTGGGCAAAGCAAATTGAATGTTGATCGCGAACCGTATGCAGTGAGCATTAACCGTGCCTTGCGGCCGACTCCACCGCCATCGGCCCACATAAGTATGAGGCGCAACCTCTGCCGTAGCACCTCAGCCCTTACGTGAGCAAAGAAGCAGTGGGGGAAAATCTGTCTACGACAACCATGAAAATCCATATTTTGAGACACTGCAGCCACAATAACTTTCAACGCATCACATCTTGCAATTCTAAACTGCCTTTTTTTCGTTCAATATATGAATTATAAATTTTGCTTTCAGTGTTTTTTATAAATTTTCATTCGTTATTAGTTTAATATGGTTGTATAAATTGTTCAATATGTTTTTTAAGTTTTGCTGTAGATTTTGGTATATAGGTTGTGCTTTCGTATTTGTTTTGCGCGCCACTGTTTTGCAGTTCTCTATTCCTGAAAAGAAAAGGAAATTCAAGAATTAATGGAAATTCAGTGAAAAAAAAAAAAAAACACTCAGACAATATACTTACGCAAGCAATTTACTCGAAACGTGGTTTGTGAATGACAGTCTGCCATTCACGGAAATAGTTTGTTATCGATAACATAAATAAACGAATTCGATACCTTTCAGAGTTACCTCGACCTTTATTATACCCCGGTTACACGTTCAATTTTCCTAAGGCTGGTGGCACACCTATTTGCGCAGATTGAAAGCGTATAAAGGACCTTGCATTTATTTTCATAAAGATAGAGTGGGAGAATAAATAATACGTAATTATTTTCATATAATTATTCATATATCTTTCATTTTCGCGAGTCATACTTAATGCAAGGCGACATTTCCATATGAGCAACAAAAAGTCAAATTATGATGGTTGGTTAATTTTAGATGCTATTTCCGAAACCACAGGGCACTATAAAGAAGATGTGACCAAACTATCTCAATCGTCCTCCATAATTTTCGTACAACCTCCATAGGAGGTAAACAGCTCACATGCCGAAGGCAACCCTGTTACACCTACCCACCAACCATTAAGCCATGATTGCACGTTCGTACCTATCAATCATAAAGGGGACTTAACACGGTTAAAAGGTTTACGATGACTAAAAATTTAGGTTTTATATTGCTCGCCATTCCAACGTAATTTTTATTCGCTTCGATCCCTAATGAAGTGGGAAACCATAATTTCAGGAGATGACTCGCTACACTACCATGCGTAAACAGGCTGAGGCAAGGAAATATGCGCTAACATGCAGGCTCTCTGGTAGCAAGCATCCGATTCGACTGTGCCCAGTGTTTCGGTCCAAATCGCCGGAGGATCGCCTTCGTGAAGTGTTAGTGCATCGGTACTGTACTAATTGCTTGTCCGGGATGCATCGTGCCGCTCATTGCACTCATCCGGGAACTTGTCGACGCTGTAAAGAGCAACACCATACAATGCTCCACATCGATCTACCAGGCGATGAACAACCGCGGGCCAGTCGCAATGACGCAGACGACAGCGATGCGATTTCGTTAGTCGCGTCCGAGACTGGAGCGGAAACAATTGCTTTCCGCCCGGACTTGGAGGAAGGGGAATTGCTAAGCGCTGGAGCGGAAACCAGTGCTTTCCGCCCAGACGAAGCGCCCGGAATGGAGTCAAATGCACTCCATCCGGATTCTGCGAGCGAGCTAGAGTTGGAACCCCAACATTTCGGACAGCTCTTACGATACCAGCCAAGAGAGAGCGGATTGGAAATTAGAACTTTCCAACCGCGATACTATACCTCATACCCCCAACCTCGACGACGAAGTAACCACCCACGGCATAAGCGTCGCAACGGGAGAGTGGAATCACACGCATTCCACCTCCCTAAAAGAACCGGATTTCGGTCTGGGCAAGATCACGCCCCAATGAATCCGATACAACAACTCACCGCAGTTGCGCCAACAGCCATCGTGAGGGTAGAAGCAGGAGGACGCTTGCACCTGGTAAGAGCTTTGATTGATCCGTGTGCCGCAACATCCATTATCGCAGACGACCTCGCGCGAGAGCTGAAGCTCAATTTAACGGCAGTCGGCAATCAACGAGGGTGTTTCATAAAACTACGCGGAAAATACGGAAATTCCACGACCATAACAATGCACGCGGTGGCCGTACGGAACCATCGGCAACAAACGCCTTTAAAAAGTCTCGATGCCACGGTCGTAGCACCATACAACAATATAAAGCTCGCCGATCCTCAGTTCCACATCGCAGCTCCCGTCCGCTTAGTGCTAGGTGCCGAAGTTTTCCCTAAGATGTTCTTAGGCGCCATTCCAGCGGGAACTCTCGGTGCGCTACTAGCGCAAAACACCATTTTCGGATGGGTACTGTCAGGCGCATGCTAAACACATTTTTGTATGACTTTATTTTTTATTTTTCCATGATGAATCAATAACTGAAAATTTTTCGTATATATATTTTGTTATATTTCATGAGTCAACTTTTTTTTCAAAATGAATTATTAAATGAAAATATATTATATAATATTATTAAAAGTGCAGTTGAATTTGAAACCCACGTCTTTTATTTTTAAACTTTCTTTCCTTATAGAAATTAGGTCCATAGATGAAGAACTGAATTGGAGAATCTAGATTTAACGTATTTTTTATCGTGTAACGTGGTATAGAGGTTGGATCACATGGTTCTTTGGATGTTGCTTATAGCAAGGGGGCCGGCATGTTTAGGCCTCCGCCTAAATAGATTAGAAAGAGGACACCCCTAATGTTTAACATTGCGTTAACATTGCCGCTGTTAACTTTCCCCTCGCTTTCTATTTGTTTCCGTTATTGGAATAGTACTACTTGAAAACATCTTGGCAGGCTACCGCCATTATAATAAAAAACTGTTCACTTACTTCTTTTGCGAGCATCCAGAGAAGAGGACGTGATCCAGCCACCATACTACAGGCGTATTCAAAGGTGGCGATTAACACTGATCCGGCTCGAAGGACCAGTGTTAATCGCCACAACGATTGGAACCAGTTGTGCCGATTTGTTTTCCGCAAAAGAAAGAACACAAAGTGGTATTAGTATTTTGATTAATTTAAATATGTGGATTTATTCATATAAAAATGTGCTGTGGATATATATATATATACAAATTGCTTTTGTAGATTACCTTTGAATACGCTGTAGTATGGTGGCTGGATCACGTCCTCTTCTCTGGATGCTTGCAAAAGAAGTAAGTGAACAGTTTTTTATTATAATGGCGGTAGCCTGCCAAGATGTTTTCAAGTAGTACTATTCCAGTAACGGAAACAAATAGAAAGCGAGGGGAAAGTTAACAGCGGCAATGTTAACGCAATGTTAAACATTAGGGGTGTCCTCTTTCTAATCTATTTAGGCGGAGGCCTAAACATCGACCGATGGCGGTTAATTCTGTTTTTTTTTTCTTGTTTGGCTGCTAAACGTGGTAGAGAAATTTCTACTCCTAGATCGGCTGTAATCAAACGAGATTTTTTAATTTACTCCGTAGTGACTCTTTCTGCATTCTTGCGATCATTCCAACATATTTTCAATATGTTGAACATCAAGTTATTGTCTTCACTTGCAAAATGTGTGCTGTAGATTCCAGCAACGTTGATTATTTAGCAATTGTTATTAAAGCAAAGATGAACATCCGCTTTGTTATAGCAGCACACAATTGATATGCAGACTTTCTTGTGAAAACGTTTCCCTGAATTTACAATTTTTCTAAATCTTCCACAACCTGAGGAACATTTTCTGATAGCCTTATATTTTTCCGACCATCTTGTTGCACACTAACATGGTATATTAGGAGCATAAATCTCGAGTGCCGTTGATTCGCGAATAAATTAAATGCTTAATGCTGTGCTTACTTCATTGTATCAACGATCAAAAACGCAGGGTTATATGGAAAGTGAATGCATAGGTATGAATTCGATTACGCATACAATTTTGTAATTTTTATTACTTAATTTTTGAAAATTTCTCCTTCATTATGTAGGTGTAGGGGGAGCAGCAAGGTTGACGTTCAAAAGCAAATGCGGAGACCGGAAGGCGGGGCCTACGGGTTATCTGATCGGCCCAAAAGTTTTGCCATAACTTGTTAATAGCATGAAGAACATATGTACCAAGTTTGAAAATGATAACTTTCTTTTTAGAATTTATGCCAAAAATATATATTCCGGCCAGTGTGCTATGGTACATAATTGTGACCCATGAGACCAAACAGCTGTGGTATATCTGCACAATAGGCGAAGTTGTTCCTTTGGGGAAGGGATTTGAAGGCATTGGATGGGACAGGAAGTTACTGGGAGGGATAGGAAGACATTCGAAGGAATTGGAAGGAATAGGAAGGCATTGGAAGGGATAGGCAGGCAATGGAAGGTACAGAAAGGCATTGGAAGGGATGAGAAGGCATTGGAAGGGATGATAAGGCACTGGAAGGGATAGAAAGGCATTGGAAGGGATAGGAACGCATTGGAAGGGATACGAAGGCATTGGGAGGGATAGTCAGGCAGTGGAAGGGACAAAAAGGCATTCGAAGGGATAGGAACTCATTGGAAGANTGAGAAGGCATTGGAAGGGATGATAAGGCACTGGAAGGGATAGAAAGGCAATGGAAGGGATAGGAACGCATTGGAAGGGATACGAAGGCATTGGGAGGGATAGTCAGGCAGTGGAAGGGACAAAAAGGCATTGGAAGGGATAGGAACTCATTGGAAGGGTTACGAGGGCATTGGAAGGGATAGCCAGGCAGTGGAAGGGGCAGAAAGGCATTGGAAGGGACAGGAATGCATTGGAAGTGATACGAACGCATTGGAAGGGATAGTCAGGCAGTGGAAGGGACAGAAAGGCATTGGAAGGGATAGGAACGCATTGGAAGGCATAGGAAGGCAGTAGAAGGGATAGGAATGCATAGGAAGGGATACAAAGGCATTGGAAGGAATAGGATGGCAGTGGAATGGATAGAAAGGCATTGGAAGGGATAGGAACGCATTGGAAGGGATACAAAGGCATTGGAACGGCTTAGGAAGTGATAGAAAGGCATTGGAAGGGATAGAAACGCATTGGAAGGGATACGAAGGCATTGGAGGGGATAGGAACGCATTGGAAGGGATACGCATTGGGAGGGATAGGTAGGCTGTGGAAGGTATAGAAAGGCAGTGGAAGGGATGATAAGGCATTGGAACGTATAGAAAGGCATTGAAAGAGATAGAAATGTATTGGAGGGGATAGTCAGGCAGTGGAAGGGACACGAAAGCACTGGAAGGGATCAGAAAGCATTGAAAGGGATAGAAACGCACTGGAAGCGATAAGAAAGCATTGGAAGGGATAGGAAGGTAGTGGGAGGTATAGAAATGTGTTCTAAGAGATGAGAAGGTNGAAGGGACACGAAAGCACTGGAAGGGATCAGAAAGCATTGAAAGGGATAGGAACGCACTGGAAGCGATAAGAAAGCATTGGAAGGGATAGGAAGGTAGTGGGAGGTATAGAAATGTGTTCTAAGAGATGAGAAGGCTATGGTAGGGATAGGAACGCATTGAAAGGGATACGAAGGCATTGGGAGGGATAGGAAAGCAGTGAAAGGTACACAAAGGCATTGGAAGGAATAGAAAGGCATTGCAAGGAATAGGAACACATTGGAAGGGATAGGAAGGCATTGGAAGGAATAAGAAGGCATTGAAAGGGATAAGAAGGCATTGAAAGGGATAGGAACGCACTGTAAGGGATCAGAAGGCATTGAAAGGGATAGGAACGCACTGGAAGCCATAAGCAAGCATTGGAAGGGATAGAAAGGTAGTGGGAGGTATAGAAAAGTGTTCTAAGAGATGAGAAGGCTATGGTAGGGATAGGAACGCATTGAAAGGGATACGAAGGCATTGGGAGGGAGAGGAAAGCAGTGAAAGGTACACAAAGGCATTGGAAGGAATAGAAATGCATTGCAAGGAATAGGAACACATTGGAAGGGATAGGAAGGCATTGGAAGGAATAAGAAGGTATTGAAAGGGATAAGAAGGCATTGGAAGGGATAGGATGGTAGTGGGAGGTATAGAAAGGCATTTTAAGAGAGGAGAAGGCATTGGTAGGGATAGGAACGCATAGGAAGGGATGGGGATAAGCAGGCAGTGGAAGATACAGAAAGGCATTGGAAGGTATGAGAAGGCATTGGAAGGGATAGAAAGGAATTGGAAAGGATAGGAACCCATTGAAAGGGATACGAAAGCATTGGAAGCGATAGGAAGGCAGTGGAGTTATAGAAAGGCAATGGAAGTGATAGGAAGGCACTGGAAGGGATACGAAAGCATTGGAAGGGATAGGAAGTCAGTGGAAGGGATAGGAACACATTGGAAGGGAACGAAGGCATTGAAAGGCATAGAAAGGCATAGGAACGCAAGGTGATTGATAAGAAGGCATTGAAAGAGATAGAAAGGCATTGAAAGGAATAGGAACATATTTGAAGGAACACGAACGCATTGGAAGGGTTAGGAAGGCAGCAGAAGGTATAGAAAGGCATTGGAAGGGATGAGAAGGCATTGGACGGGATGCGAAGCTATTGGAAGACATTGGAAAGGATAGGAACGCATTGGAAGGGATAAGAAGGAATTCGAAGGGGTAGGAAAGCATTGGAAGTGATAGGAAGGTTCTGGAAGGGATAGGAACGCATTGGAAAGGATTGGAAAGCAGTGGAAGGAACACAAAGGCATTGTAAGGGATGGGAAGGCATTGGAAGGGCATAGGAAGAGACGGGAAGGCATTGGAAGGGATAGGATGGTACTGAAAGGGATAGGACGGCATTGGAAGGGATAGGAAGGCATTTAAAGGGATTATAAGGCATTGGTTTATCACATCTTACCAATAGTTCAATAATTTTCGAAAAATTAGCTTTTGAAAATATTGAAAATTCGACTTTTATCACCCCCTTGCACCGCCCGCCCCTTTTAATTTGCAGCAAAACAAAATTCAGCAAAATCAAGAATAAGGAGCGAGCCACGCCCACTTTTTCTCTTTTTCTAGCACATCGGGCCCTATACTTTACTTTTACCAAAATCAAAGACATTTGTACTGACATTTTTGTGAATATTTTCTTTTTTGTGCCATAGAAAAGATAAAAATTAGTTAAAACTTCTAAAAAAATCATTGTTCGCTTAATTGTGCACCCTTTTACATTTCACAGTTCAATTTAGGTTGAAAAGTATGCTCGTAAAAGATCCAAATTGCTCCTATTCACTGCATTACCGACACTTTCCAGTAATTTAGGATTTTTCTCTATTTAGGAAGCAATTTAGACGTACTCGCACACAGCCTTAGTGTCAATTACACCCAGCATCATGCAAAGAGTTACTAGTAAAAATTTATCCAGTAACAATCCAATATTACTT